GAGAGTTGGAGGTTGCTGTGAGTTATGTTGCCACAGCAATCCACCAGGGGTGACAAAGTGAGACTCTGTCTAAATAAATAAATAAAATTTAAAATAAAATAAAATAAAAACTTCGAACTAAAACAATTGAATACAAAATTAAAAAAAAATCTTCAGTTAGTTTTTCTCAATCTTTTTCCAAGTAACATACTCTTCTGCTGTCTTAAGGTTCTTCAAGTTCTATACAGCCTTCTGTGAAAGCATCCTACAGTTTGCTTTATGTCAGGTAGCAGATTTCAGAATCTTCATGAAGACTTGTCTATCCTGACTATGATTGCTTCGTGCCTTCTTTTTCCCTAATTGTTTTTAAATATATACCAGCACTGAGATGATTGTTAGCAGAGATGAAATAATAGGAGGAAAAACAGAGGACTGGCTTTAGCTCGCTGCATAACCTTAGCTGAGTTACTTCCCTTTCTTACATGGCCCTCACTTTTCCCATCTATAAAATGAAAGGGTAATACCATATCATTCCTATATACTTTTCTAATTATAAAATTTGTGATATTTCAGTTAGCTTTTGATTATAATCTTTTACAGTTCCGGAGATAAAGACAGAACTTTTAAAATTTCTAAGACATAGGCTGGGCGAGGCGGCTCATGCCTATAATCCTAGCCCTCTGGGAGGCCAAGCTGGGTGGATTGCTTGAGTTCAGGAGTTTGAGACCAGCCTGAGTAAGAGTGAGACCTCCTCTCTACTTAAAATAGAAGGAACAAAAGTAGCCAGGCATAGTGGTGCTTGCCTGTAGTCCCAGCTACTTGGGAGACTAAGGCAAGAGAATGGCTTGAACCCAGGAGTTTGAGGTTGCTGTGAGCTACAGTGATGCCACAGCAGTCTACCCAGGGCAACAGAGTGGGACTCTGTCTCAAAGAAAAAAGATTTCTAAGATCTTAAAAATTCCTATGCGTTACTTTATTAACTTCATCTACCTCCTGATAGTGATTTATAATATAAATCTTAAAACAAAAAATGTCCTATGTTGGAAGACTGCTGGGAATGATACTAGAGAAATAACAAAAAGCTGGACTGGGAAGGAAGAAAACTTGATAAGGAGGTGGCATGTTTCAAATCCTGGCCACATTAAAGAAAAAGAAAAGAAAGAAAAACAAAAAGTGCCCTGGGCCCTAATCAACAAAGTTATTAGAATTGCACAGGACTAGAATTCAGATCTCCAAATTTCCTAGTTAACACCCTAACATTATACTGTGTTACATCATTTGAAATGTTATATCAATTAATTTTACCTAGAGAATGAAAAATGCATGAAATAATTTTTCATAATTTATTTGGATAGGTTTTTTTAACCACTTAACTTATTTTCTGGCTGCTGGTGCTGTTACTTTGGGAATCGGTTTCTTTGCTTTGGCATCAGCTTTGTGGTTCCTGATTTGCAAACGAAGGTAAGAACGATTAGAATAATAGTTTAACTTTCTAAATTTAAAAATCCAGTGAAATACTTTTTCAAATGGTATTGAACTTAAATAGCTGTGATAGTACTGACTCTGTAATTTGGGGGTTGGTTATAAACCCTTTGGTTGGACAGGGGAGGAGTTACATGTTTTAAATAGCCTGGAAAAAAAAAAGAAGTTCTAGTAAAAGCAATCTTTATACATTAAGATTTTGAGGAATGACAGGAACTATTTTATTTTACTGAAGACATGGGTTTGACTATAACATAAAGGTAGAATTTTTTTAAAAATTTGACTTCCAATTCAGAGATTAAAAACATTATTGAGAGAGGACCAGGTGCTATTGGCTCTCACCTAGAGTCCTAGCACTTTGCGAGGTCACAGTGGGAGGACTAAGACCAGCCTGGGCAACATAGTGAGGCACCATCCTCTAAAAAATTGTTTTTAATTAGCTGGGTGGGGAAGTGCATGCCTTGAGCTTCTTGGTTACTCAGGAGGGTAAGGCAAGATCACTTGAGCCCAGGAGTTCAAGGTTAACAGTGAGCTGTGGCAAAACCACTCCACTCCAGCCTTAAAGAGGCAAGAGTCTCTTTAAGAAAAATCTGTCTCTTTAAGAAAAAAAAAAAGAGAAACTCACTCTTTATTTAGGAGATACTTAGGAAAAGAGCTGACAGAATGCTTTGATATAGACTAAAAGTACTCTCTTAACAGAAACAGAAAAAAAGATGATTTGACACCTAGTTCCTTTCAATGATACAATTTTTTGCTTCTAATTATCTAATCAGTTCTGTGTTTACATTAGCTGATCATTGTAACTCGCTCTTCCCACACACTCTTCTCCTGTTCCTATCACAGCTTATGAATATGTACTACCCATCTGCACACACAAGGCAGAAGCTTATCACTTATTTGTTCTTCCAATGAATTTGTTTGTTTATTTATTTACTTATTTATCTATTTGGTGCTTGCCATTGTTCTAGGTCTTGAGAATATAACTGTGAACAAGTCAAACAATGTTGTCTTTTTTGGGGGACAGAGTCTCACTTTGTTGCCCTCAGTAGAGTGCCATGAAGTCATAGCTCACAGCAACCTCAAATTCTTGGGCTCAAGTGATCCTCTTGCCTCAGGCTCCCAAGCCGCTGGAACTATAGGTGCTAGTCATAGCACAGCCAAAGCACTTTACTATTTTTAGAGACAGGATCTGGCTCTGGCTCAGGCTGGTCTCAAACTCCTGAGTTCAGGCAATCCACCGTCTTTGGCTTCCCAGAGTGCTAGGATTACAGGCATGAGCCACCACACTAGGCCTTCCAACAAGGTTTCTTTTTCATGGATTTGCAGTGCCACTGGCAGGGGAAAGATAATGAACAAAATAGAAAAGGTGGTCAGGGTATGCCTATACACACAGGTTGTTTTAAGTTTAAGACGTTAATTAAAAGAAAGACCTGGACGTATGAAGACCTTGTGCAAGAGCTTCCTTCTTTTTCTTTTTTTCCAAGGCAGAGTCTCACTATGTCACCCTCAGTAGAGTGCTGTAGCGTCACAGCTCACAGCAATCACCAATCCCTGGGCTGAAGTGATTCTCTTGCCTCAGCCTCCCAAGTAGCTGGGACTACAGTTGCCTCCCACAACGCCCAGCTTTTTTTCTTTTTTCTGAGACTAGGTTTCCCTCTGACTCAGGTTGGTCTCAAACTCATGAGCTCAGGCAATCCACCTGCCTCAGCCCCCCAGAGTGCTAGGATTATAGATGTGAGCCACCGTGCCCAGCATACATCTTACTTCTCTGTGATGCCTGGATTTTTATGGAGCAAGAGTGAAAGAAGAGAGACAAGTTAGAAGCTATTGTATACTCTAGATAAGACCTTGTAGTCTTGAACTAACGTGGAAGTAAAGGAGATGAAAAGAAGACGTTGGATAGGTTTTGCATGTAGACCCAGCAGGGCTTGTTAATAGATTGGATGAAAATAGCAGAATTAGTGCTGACACCTAGGTCTTCACTGTAAACCGCTGAAAAGATTATGTTCTATTCAGCTCAGTTAAGCTCAGCCATTCACTGATACGAGAGATGATTAGAGGGGGGAGGAACTTGGGGAAGTGGTAATAAACTAAGGGTTGTGCTTTGCCTGTAAATTGGACATCCAAGTGAAAAGGTCAAATAGGCAGTGGGATATGCACGGACAAACTTCAGGAGACTAGTCAGGGCCGAAGGTTTGATAAATATAGAGAACTGAGCCATACATTTGGATGAGAATAACCGAGGAGATTTCATTGTTGAAAGAGAATGAAACTTACAACTGTCACTGACATTTAGAAATCTGGCAGAAGAACCAAAAGAATCAGTGTCTGAGAAGAATGAAAAGCACAAAGGTGTAGTTTTAAGGAGGTCAAAAATTTTTAAATCTTTCAAGACGGTGGTTGCAGCTATTTTGAAGGTACTTGAGTTGAGAAGGATGGAGGCAGAGTTTGGATTGGGCAACACAGGGGGCATTGGCGACCTTGATGAATAGTTTTGGTGGTGTGAAGGGTTCAGAAACTCACCTTTGAATAATAGCACACGAGAGGTGAGAAAGTTGGGCCAAGTATAGTCATCTCTTTCGAGAATTTTTTTTCTTCGAGAAGGTGCTGATAAATGGAGGAAAATGTGGAATCAAGGAAAGTTTCTCATTTTTTCCTAAAAATGAAAGATATGTCTGATTAACTCAAGCATCTTTTTTCTTCCCCCCACTGAATTTGAACTGTCACTAAGTTCTATTTGTTTGACCTGATAAATGGCTCAAATCTATTCATTTCTCTCTAGGCCACTACCCACTCCAAGTCCTAATTATGCCCGACGTAGACTACTGTGGTAGGAGGTATCACTGGCTCCCGACCTTCACTATCGTCCTCCTTTATTCTTTTCTCCACATTTCAACCAGACATTTTCCAAATGCACATTTGATCCCTATTTTCTTCTTCTTTTTTTTTTTTTTGAGACAGAGCCTCAAGCTATCCCCCTGGGTAGAGTACCGTGGCTTCACAGTTCACAGCAACCTCCAACTCCTGGGCTCAAGCGAGTCTTCTGCCTCAGCCTCCCAAGTAGCTGGGACCACAGGCGCCCACCACAATGCCCGGCTATTTTTTGGTTGCAGCCATCATTGTTGTTTGGCGGGTCCGGGCTGGATTCGAACCCGCCACCTTAGGTGTATGTGGCTGGCGCCTTAGCCACTTGAGCCACAGGCGCCGAGCCTGATCCCTGTTTTCTACTCCACACCCACTAAATACTTTCCATTTTAAGAGATGTTATCTATGTGTTACTTTTCCAAGTTGAATTGAATTACAGTAGCAACGTGCAGTATGACGTTGACTCAAAAGGTGGCGTTAATCAGATGAAGGCTAGTGTCATTATGCGACAAGCATGAACAGGTCAGCTTTTTCTCTTTAAATGCATATACATGTTTTTGGCACCCTGTGTGTGTGTGTGTGTGTGTGTGTGTTTTTGAGACAGAGTCTCTCTCTGTCACCCTGGGTAGAGTGCAGTGGCATCGTCATAGCTCACTGCAACCTCAAACTCCTGAGCTCAAGCCATCCTCCTGCCTCAGCCTCCCAGTAGCCTCCTGACTACAGGTAATCGTCACCACGACCAGCTAATTTTTCTATTTATGGTAGAGCCACAGCCTTGCTGTTGCTCAGGCTGTTCCTTAGCTCCAGAGCTCAAGCAATCTTCCTGCCTTGGCCTCCCAGAGTGCTAAGATTCCAGGTGTGAGCCACAACGCCCAGCCTCTACACCCACTATACTTTGAAGGACTTCTCATGGCTGTCAGGATAAAGACAACATTTTTAAGGACCTGCATGGTCTGCTTGCATTTCCCTTCTTGCTTTTATGTTGCTGCTGCATTGTCCTAATCTGACCATTATGTCTTTGTACTTGACATTCTCTCTGCTTGCATAATCTTACTCTCACATCTTCCCTCTTCCAACACACTCTACCTAAAAACCACTACTTTTTTTTCAGATGCCCTGCTCAAATCATTCCTTCCTCAAGAAAGCCTTCCCTGACCTCTCTAACCAGGTCGATTCCTTTTGTTACAAACACAGTATCAGATAGCACTTCCTTGATAGCACTTTCTATAGTTGTAATTTTTTATTTTTGTGACTATTTTATTAATGTCTTTCTTCTTTCACAGCATTTATGCTCCACGGGAGCAATGACAGTTTCATGAGAATAGCTTTTTCCCCACACCACTGTGTGTACAACACCCAGCATAATGCTTGGTACATATTAAGTACTCAATAAATATTTGTCAGCTCGGCGCCTGTGGCTCAAGCCGCTAAGGCGCCTGCCACATACACCTAAGGTGGCGGGTTCAAATCCCCAGCCCGGGCCGCCAAACAACAATGATGGCTGCAACCAAAAAATGGCCGGGCGTTGTGGTGGGTGCCTGTGGTCCCAGCTACTTGGGAGGCTGAGGCAGGAGACTCGCTTGAGCCCAGGAGTTGGAGGTTGCTGTGAGCGTGATGCCATGGCACTCTACCCAGGGGGACAGCTTGAGGCTCTGTCTCAAAAAAATAAATAAATAAATAAATAAATATTTGTCAAGAAAATTGAATTCAGTGAATGAGTGAATCCTGATTGTTAATACCTCATTAAATAACATGATATGGTCTCTTGAATTAATTTGGAAATTTTCTAGCACCTCTGAAAGAAGAAATGACAATCAACATTATTATTATTAGAGGGAAATTTACAATTGATGGCTCTACATTGACACATCATTGTCACGCATAGTTTATAGTTTGTGCCAGGTTTCACCCTTGGTGTCACACATTCCATGGGTTTGAACAGATGTTTAATGATGTCTGTCTACCAGTATAGTATCATACAGAGTATTTTTACTGCCCTAAAAATCCTCTGTGCTCTATCTACTCGTCCTTCCCTCCCCTAAACCCTGGCAACCACTGACCTGTTCATTGTCTCTGTAGTTTTGCCTTTTCCAGAATATTATATAGTTGGAATCATACAGTACGTAGCCTTTTAAGGTTGGCTTTTTTCACTTAGTAGTATACATTTAAGTTTCCTCCGTGTCTTTCTTTCTTTTTTTTTTGAGACAGAGCCTCAAGCTGTCCCCCTGGGTAAAATGCAGTGGCATCACAGCTCATAGCAACCTCCAACTCCTGGGCTAAAGCAGTTCTCCTGCCTCAGCCTTTCAAGTAGCTGGAACTACAGGCGCCTGCCACAACGCCTGGCTATTTTTTGGCTGCAGCTGTCATTGTTGTTTGGTGGGCCCAGGCTGGATTCGAACTCACCAGCTCAAGTGTTTGTGGCTGGTGCCTTAGCCACTTGAGCCACAGATGCCGAGCCACCTCCATGTCTTTTCATGGCTTTATGGCTCACATCTTTTTAATACTGAATAATATTTCATTGTGTGAAAGCATTATTTATTTATTTATTTATTAGACAGAGTCTCACTTTGTTGCTCTCAGTAGAGTGCTATCGTGTCACAGCTCACAGCAACCTCAAACTATTGGGCTTAAGTGATTCTCTTGCTTCAGCCTCCCAAGTAGCTGGGACTATAGGCACCCACCACAACACTGGGCTATTTTGTTGTTGTTGTTGTCATTGTTGTTTAGCAGGCCCAGACCAAATTCGAACCAGCCCGCCTCAGCCTATGTGGTTGGTGCCCTGACCACTGAGCTATAGGCTCCAAGCCAGCATTATTTTTATTTGAAACTGTATTCCCTTATAATTGTCTGTCTTTGATCAGCTGAGGTTTTACTGGTGCTTTATTATTTTTAACTCTCTTATTTATTTGTGGCTGCATGGATAAAGAAAGAAAGATCACAGTTATTCTATTGTAAGTCATTAGTTTTAAGTCTTGCTTTTAGTCGGAGATATTATTAGGTATCAAGATTGACCAATGACTTTCATTTTATTTAATTTTCTTCACCATTAAACTCAAATTTATGAAAGGGCTAATTAACATTAAAGTCTGTTTTCTCACAACCAAAGGAAGTACATCAGAGATTCCTGCTTAATATTCAAACTCAATGGCTTGGCTCCCACAACACAATGGTTACGGCGCCAGCCACATACACCGAGGCTAGTGAGTTCGAACCCAGCCTGGGTCTTCCAAACAACAATGACCACTTCAACAGCAACAAAAGTAGCTGGGCATTGTGGTGGGCACATGTAATCCCAGCTACTTGGGAGGCTGAGGCAAGAGAATTGCTTAAGCCTAAGAGTTTGAGGCTGCTGTGAGCTGTGATGCCATAGCATTCTATCAAGGGTTACATAATGAGACCCTGTCTCAAAAAAAAAAAAAAAAATTAAAACTGAAAATATTAACCCTGCAAATTAGCTTAATTTACATTTTATGAATTAAGTAAGTAGCTTAATTTATATTCTATAAATAAAATAGTATTGAAATTGAACATATGAGAAGGGAACATGTAAATTGATTTGTGCTTTTTAAAATAAATATACTGGCAGGGTATGGTGGCTCATACCTGTAATCCCAGCACTCCAGGAAGCTGAGGCAGGAAAACTGCCGAGGGGGAGGATTGAGATGAGCCTGGACAATATAATGAGACCCTGGCTCTACAAAAATTTAAAAGTTAGCTGGCTGTGGTGGCACATGCTTGTAGTCCCAGCTACTGGGCAGGCCAAACCAGTAGAATTGCTTGAGTCCAGTAATCTGTGGCTGTAGTAAGTTACGATTGGGTCACTCCATTCCCACCTAGGTGACAGAGTGAGACCCTGTCACTAAGGAAAACTACATATATTTATGTATATGCACACAGTAATATATTACAATTTTGAAACTTTATGTATAAATATTGAGAGCAATAATTTTAATTGGTTTATAATCTAATTCATGTTTAATAATATTCAAATATTTTTTCAGAGAATTATTTCAAAATTCCAAATCTAAAGCAACCGATGAGAGATGCAGTCCAAGACCATCAAAGTCGAAGATTAAATCTGAATCTCAGTGCGTTTTTATTTCTCGAAATTTTCATACTGGAACATTTCCATCTCAGGTAGGGTAATATAACAATCTTTTAAAATAATTTGATGCCATGTCATTAGCACAGTTGTCTTAAAATTTGGGAATCTGCTGTGACTTTTTAGTTGCAGGGCCATAATATGGAGCTAACTTGAAATCGCCTGGAGTGTATACAGTAGGAAAACTGAAAAACGAAATGAAAATATGCCTCCTCCTACAGATGCTTCTCCATCTCTCTAGTGCAAGAGATTACCCTCCACGTACTGGGATTGCCATCGGGAAGATAAATGGCCCAACAAAAACTGAAACCAAAATTACCAGGCCTGTCAAAGGAAGAAGATGTGGAGATAGAAACTCCGATAACCTAACCGTGCCAACTAAATGAAATTAAATTCACTTTGGCAAGAACGTCATAAGCCCTTATTATATTCCAAGCTCTGGGTCCCCCTATTGGGGATAGTAAGACATGGCCTCTACCTTCAAGGGGCTTGTATAGACCAAGTGAGAAAGGCAGAAACATCATTAACTTTGTGTAATGTGGCAAAAGTCAAAACAGTGTTTTATGAATAAAGCAAAACAAGGCAGAGACCAGCAAAAATTTAAGACTATGATAATAGCTAAGCAAAAGAAAAAGCTCTCTTAAAGCGTTAATAGATAGTGAGTGGCAAACTGACAGGTCGGCAAGGTCTCACTATACATCTTGAGTATTGAACTTGAGTTGAACTCAGTGTTCGGCCATTTGTTTAATAAATATTTATTGAGTGCCTGCCATATGGCAGCGCTAGCTTTGCCACTGAGGCTGTATAAATAAATAAGATGTAAGCTGAGCCCCAAGTGAGCCCAAAATCAGCAGAGAAGGAAAACGTACAAACTAATGATTACTCCATGGTGTAATAAGAGCTCACAGAGTCCAAGTGATATGGACGAGGGAGCCTGAATGGAGGAGGGCTTCACAGGGAAGATGTTTAGAACTGGGCTTTGAGAAATGAATAGAAGTTTTTCAGGAGTAAAGAGAACACAGGTTGTTTCATGTTCAAAGGCTGATAGTTCAGTAAAATTGTTATGTCGCTTAGAGCCTGTGATTCATAGAAAAGAGTGATAGGAAAAAGACGCTGGAGATGTGATTGTAATGAACGCCATTGGCACCCTAAGGATTTTGGATTTTACCCCATGTGCTATACTGACCCCCTGGAGGTATTATGGGAACGTAGTCAAGAGCAAGGTCTGAGAGCCAGATGGCACAGCTTTGAGTTCTGGCTCTACCTCAACTAGCTGTGTAATCTTAGGCAAGTTACCTAATTCTGTGTCTCAGTTTCCTCATGTGCAAAACGAGAATAATTTCACCTCTGCAGAGTTGTCATGGGATTAAATGAATTACTATTTGAAAAAAGCATTGAGAATTGTCCCTGGCCACATCATGAGTAGAAGGTTTTAAGCAGGTGGATATAAATAACAAATTAATTCTGCAGGTTGTTAGCCTTGACTTTCAAATGAAGAATAGTTGGAAATAGAGGCTGCACTGCAGAGAAACAAATGTTTCTATTCATTTAATATTAAGTTTTTAGCACCCATCACATGCCAGGCATTATGCTAGGTACTAATGATATAATAAAAGCCATCGTATTTAGAGATGTATATACACAAATGCACAATTACAAAACTTCATGAGTGCAATTTAATTAGGTTATTATTCATTCAACAAATATGTAATAAGTACTTATGGGCCAGACATTGTTCTAGACCACTGAGAATTTGGTGGTGAACCAGGGGGATAACAGTCCCTAGTTTTATGAAATTTATAGTGAAGTGGGAGAGAGAAACAATGTGTAAATAAATACACAGTGTTATTCAGAATTCTTTTTATTTTATTTATTTATTTATTTATTTTTTTGAGACGGAGCCTCAAGCTATCCCCCTGGGTAGAGTGCCATGGCATTACAGCTCACAGCAACCTCCAACTCCTGGGCTCAAGCGAGTCTCCTGCCTCCGCCTCCCAAGTAGCTGGGACCACAGGCACCCACCACAACGCCTGGCCATTTTTTGGTTGCAGCCGTCATTGTTGTTTGGCGGGCCTGGGCTGGGGATTCGAACCTGCCACCTTAGGTGTATGTGGCTGGCGCCTTAGCCGCTTGAGCCACAGGCGCCGAGCCAGACTTCTCTTTAAAATCACCAACATATATATATATATGTTGTATACATGAACAATACGATGTTTTGAAATACGTATGCATCGTGGAATGGCTAAATTGAGCTAAAAGTTGCATTACTTCACGTATTTGTCCTTTCTTTGTGGTGAGAACACTTGAAATCCCTCTTCACCTGGCATGGTGGTTCACACCTGTAATCCTAGCACTTTGGGAGGCTAAGGCAGGAGGGTTGCTTGAGGCAAGGAGTTCAAGACCAGCCTGAGCAAGAATGAGAACCCCCATCTCTACTAAAAACAAAAATTAGCCAGCTGTCATAGCGCATGCCTGAAGTCCCAGCTCCTTGGAAGGCTGAGGCAAAAGGATAGCTTGAGCTTAGGAGTTTGGAGTTGCATGAATTATGATTAGGTTACTGCATCTAGCCTGGAAGACAGAACAAGAACTTGTCTAAAAAAAAAAAAAAAACTCTCATAGCATTTTTCAACACCACAATACATTGTTATTAATAGTCACTGTGTTATACAATAGATCGTTTGAATTTATTCCTCCTAACTGAAGTTTTGTGTTCTTTGGCCAGTATCTCCCCACCTACCCTGCCACCCCCAGTTCCCATTAACCACCGTTCTACTCTCTGCTTCTATGAGTTCAATTCTTGTAGATTCCCCATGAATGAAATCATGTGGTATCTGTCGTTCTGTGCCTGGCTTATTTCACGTAACATAATGTCCTCCAGGTTCATCTGTGTGGTCACAAATGACAGGATTTCCTTCTTTTGTAAGGTTGTTATGCAGGATTCTTGAAAGTCATTGATAGGAACTCCATTCAAACTAGAATAAGAAAGAAAAAAAGGAGAGTAAGGTAGGGCTGCCCTCAGCCACAGAAGCATTCCTTCACGTTGTCCCTCATTTTTCTGGCCTCTCTCTCTGATGCTCTAATTCCTACACACAGACTTCTATGTGGCAGGACTTCTAAGAGGTTAAAAATTATAACAAAAAATTTGGCTTAATATAATAAGCCATATTTTTTGGCAAATAAGAGATTTGATTAGAGATTTTTTCATTTACTGTGAAATATGACAAATAGAAGAATCTACACACACTGATTAAATAATAATAAGTAGAATGTTTTATACGTACCACCCAGAATAAGAAATAGAATACTACCTGCATCTCTGATGTATCCTGAGTCTTGTATGTCTCTCTCACTCCCATCCCACTCTCCACTAAAGGAATCACTATCCTGTAATTACAGTCAACCATTTCCTTATTTTTCGGTAAATTTTATAGATTTCTGAACAAGATATTATTAAATTGTATGTGTTTGGACTCTATGTCTAACTTCCCATCTGAGATTCATGTAGGCTGATGCACATAGCGGCGGTGTCTAATTTTTACTGTTATGTGGCATTCCATTGTCTGGATATATCCAGTTTTGTGTGGTGGACATTTGGGATGTCTTCAGTTATTTTTCTAGAAAATGTCGATAGGGAATACACTTAAAAGAGGAACTACTGAGTCATGAGAGAAGTGCATGTTCACCATTATTAGATAATTCCAAGGCCAGGCGCAGTGGCTCATGCCTCTAATCCTCTGGGAGGCTGAGGCGGGTGGATTGCTTGAGCTCAGAAGTTGAGAGCAGCCTGAGCAAGAGCAAGACACTGTCTCTGCAAAAAATTAAAAAAAATTAGCAGGGCGTCATGCTGGGTGCCTGTAGTCCCAGGTACTAGGAAAGCTGAGGCAACAGGATTGCTTGACCCAGGAATTTGAGGTTGAGCAATGACACCACAGCACTCTCCTCAGGGTACAGTGAGACTCTGTTTAAAAAAAAAAAAAGAAAAAGAGGCTGAGTGCCCATAGCTCAGTGGTTAGGGTGCTGGCCATGTGCCCAGGGGCTGGTCGGTTTGAACCCGACCCAGGTCTGCTAAACAAAAACAAACGAACAAACAAACAAACAAAAAATAGCCAGGCGTTGTGGTGGGTGCCTGTAGTCCCAGCTACTCAGGAGGCTGAGGCAAGAGAATTGCTTGAGCCTAAGAGTTTGAGGTTGCTGTGAGCTACAATGCCACAGCATCTACAGAGGATGCTATAGATGTCCTCTGTCCCAGAGGAGGACAAAGTAAGACTCTGTCTCAATAAAAAAGAAAAAAGGAAAGAAAAGAAAAGAAAAGAAAAACTCTGGGAGGCTGAGGTGGGAGGATCGCTGGAGCTCAAAAATTCAAGACCAGCCTGAGCAAGAGTAAGACCCTATCTCTACTAAAAACAGAAAAATAAGCTGGGCATCGAGGTGGGTGCCTGTATCCCAGCTACTGGGGAGGGAGGCTTATGCAAGAGGATCAGCTAAGCCCAAGAGTTTGAGGTTGCTGTGAACTATAATGCCACAGAACTCTACCCAGAGCCACAAGAGTGAGACTGTCTCAAAAAAAAAAAAGATAATTCCAAATTGTTTTCCAAAGTATCCATATCAATATATGTTCATGTGCATAAGTGCACGGATTACTCCATATATTTAACAACTATTGATATCTTTAGGCTTCTAAATTTTTGATACTCAATACATGGGTAGTATAGCTCAGGAGTGAGGGAGGCCAGTGGGCCTCCCAGGGCCGCCATGCCCTTCTTCCTGGGCCTGGCAAGTATGCGGGGTTCCAGTCCCAGAGGATCCAAGATCTGTTGGGAGCAGCCAGAGTGGCCTCAGCAGAGCACTGCCGTCAGAAGAGAGGGACTGTGGTGGGCTGGCAAGGTGGCCTAAGGCTGAGGCCTGACCACATGGAGGAGACTGGGAGTCCCATGCAGGCCCCAGGCACCTGCCTGGCTGTACATGGCCGAGTGGTCTCAGATGCTTTTGCCCCACTGGCCAAGCCGGTGGCCATCTCAGCTGCAGCACCCATCAT